ACGATTCAAGGGGCGAGCGGAGCCAGCGGATCTGAGCCTGGCCGCCTATACTTCGTTTCAGCTTCGGTCCAGACGCAGCCGCGCGAGCATCTGGCCCAGAACAGTGCTTGTACTGCACGAGCGCGCGTGCTTGGCAGGGATGCTGAAAGCCCGGAGCTCGCGCTTGCAGCTTAGCCGAGCCGGCCGGGCAGACGAGGGCGAGAGAGAGAGGGAGGCAGCGCGCAGGAGAGGAGGCAATTTGTGTTCTTCCAACACGCTTTCTCGGTGTGACAGGATGTTCCCCGAGTGTCGGAGAACAAGTTGGGAAACATGGTTTTCGGACTAGAGCAACATGTTTCCGGACTGTTGCTGTTTCCGCAATGTGACAGGGTCCCCGAAAATATGTTTTCCTCGTGTTGAAGGACAAAGTTCTCCGACTGTTTCCGCAGTGTGACAGGGTGCTTCTTTGTGCCATCGATTCAGATGATTTTGACGATCAGCTGCCGCCGCGCAAGAAGCCGCGTTCGAAATTGCCCTTCACGCTTGACGTTATTATTGAAGTATTCTCGTGCGACTATCTGTACAGAAAAATATAGATGTTGCCGTGTTGCTGAAAAAAAAAATTCGGTCATCTACCGAAATGGGCAACACGTGTCGTCCGACACAAGTTGTCGAGGTTTCCGTTGCCAGAGCTCAGCCACCGAGACAACATTGTCGCTGTCGTCCATGTTGTGTTGCTGTTTCCTCAATGTGACAGGGTTGTCGGGCAACAGAGCCGACAGCCGACATGTTTCCCGACTGTTGAGAAACATGTTTTGTTCATGTTTCCGCCGTGTTTCCTCAATGTGACAGGGCCTTTAATGTTTAAATAAATTAGCATACGTCCTTCGCGTTCATTGCACGTAAAGGCACGGGCCCGAAAGCGGCAATTCTGCAGTGTCCTCTTGGCGCGAGCGCGAGCGCGTAGAACGCATATTTAAAAGACACGCGCTTGACCAGAAACAATTGTATCGAAAAGAAGAAAACTGAAACAACGCTTCGGGGAGGACCGGTGGACGGGCTTCGCTAGAATCGCCTGCGCGTGCTCAGTGTATTCAACGCCACACTCAACCGCCGCTGAAGTCATTCGAATATGTAAACAGAAAAAAGAAAATGCATCATTGTGTTTATAAAGTTGTGATTGAAGAAGTTTGTTTCGATAATTTGATACAATTAATTAAACAGGCTTCTCTATACTTGAAGTGTAAGGTATCGAGAAAACGAAACTGATCAAAACGTGACGTGTAGTGACTATTCAAATTTATTTATAACCTGCAGTTCACCTTTGCGATGGATGACATTGGAGATACGAGCACTTTCCTAGGGGCAGTAGAGGAAATTAATATATGCAGGGTAAATGTTGCACAGTCTTTTCGTATTTATGCAAAATATGTCAGTGGTCACCATCCTAATCGGTCACAGAAATTACAGCATTATATAAGCTGGTGATGTCGACTGGTCGTGTGCATTGAAATGTAGAGTGTCAATATCTCACGAAAAAAAAAGTGTCGATATCTTATGCTGTACCTTGTGCTGCTTGTGAACGCGTTCATGTATAACATCCTATGGTGTCTGTATGTCGCGTATGTGTGAAGTGCGGTGTGGAATATGTACATACGTGCATGTCTGGCTAGGCGCTCGAAGGAAGGACTGTTGGTTTCTTTTTTTTTTTTTAGTTTGAGCGCTGTCCATTAGGTGGCGCGTGTCGCCACCCAATTAAAGGAGTCGCGCGTTTGTGTGTCTACTTATTTGAGTGAAAAACATGGAGGCGTTTCATGGCTCCCCGGAGCAGCCACGGACGGTTCGGTTCTCGGCCTCTCGTCCAGTGGGATCAGTCCCATTGCCAGTTGAATGGGTGTTCCGTGCGGTGAATTGCGCCAAGTGCGTGCACAGACGTGGTGAGGATTACCAGAGACTTGAAAGTGGATAACGAATGCTAACAGGTGAGCAGGAGCGTCGAACGATCGGAACCGACGCCGCTTGAATCGGTGATGCTTCGCCTGGCCACTGTCAACCAAAAACGGCGGATCCCTTGCGGCAAGCACAGCAAGCAGATGCTCGGTTCAATAAAGACATCATTCCATTTGTCGCTATACAATTCCTTTATTGAATGTTCTCTGGCCGCGAAGTAAATGCAGCCGGCCGCGCGAAAGCAGACGCCGACAAACCTCCTCGAATGCTCCCCCCCCCCCCCCCCCCCCCATCACATCGTCGCCCCTACTTGTGATAGGTGCGGTGCGGGTGCTTCGAGGCGCGTTTTGGAGTGCTTTAGTGCGCACGAAAGGCAGCGAACGGGCGTACGCACTTGAAAATCGTAGTTTAGCAAAAAGCAGTCTAGCGCGCTTGGCCTTACTCGTATTGCTCCACTGTCGCAAAGAGTGCCTTTGTTGACGGTCGGCGGGGTACCGCTAGTACCTTCTCAGGCCTCCCAGTTCCAGTTAAAGCCAGTGAACGTCGCTTTGGCTGCAGAAGCGTGAATTCATCAGGTCCGCTCGCCTGAGCAGTAGAACGAGTCTCACGTTGGGTACCAGGAGCCCCTGCAGGAATGGCAGAAAACTCGGAGTCCGCCCAGTTGCTGCACGTTGGGGCAGCGCTTGTGGCCTCGAGCGTAGAAGGCCTCAGAACCTCTGCTGAGGCAGAAGGTGAATACAATGGGTGAGGTCTCGAAGGAAAAGGCAAACGTTCCAGCACCCTCTTGTTCAGCAGGCCGAGTTCGGAGCGCAAAAAGCCATTTTCAACCTTGATGCATTTAACCTCGGCGGTCAAGACATCCAGTTTTGAGGATATCTTACTCAGAAGACGGACGAAGCATCGTTACGGTTGAGCAGGACCGTCGGCAAATTCGGGCGGCGCCTGATACAATCCGAGCACTTGTAGTTTATCCTACAACTCTGCCTAAGCAAGTCATATTCATCTTGACCCACGCCGATGCCTTTCCAATGGAAGCGTCGATTGCACGAACCCGAGCAACATAGAAGCTGCTGCTTGCTGCAGAATCGAATAGAGCATGTGCCGCAGACGTCCGTCGTCATCGCTATCATTCTGGCGAATGATAGCCATGCCGACGGTTTTCAGTTGTAATTTTCTTGGCCTCATTCTGACTGAGTCTCAGTGAATAGCAAGTTGCCATGTCTTTTTCCCTCTGGGCAAGCACACTCTCTGGCAAGCCTGCCGCAGTTACCCTCGCCAGCGGAGCTGGACAAGAAACAATCGACCATATGTTGACTTCCAAGGGGGAGAGCCCCTTCATAGAGTGCACGACACTAGAGTACCGACGTTAGAGCGCGCAGCGCGAAAGTGCAGAGACGAGAACGCGCTTTGCACGAATTACCATAGAAGTCATGATTCCATCTAGAGTCATGTACACACCACCATACATGAGCCTGACCGAAGCACAGACTAAAAAACTAGCAACGCTTTAACGAAAGCCGATCCGACTCGCGCTTGGTGTACCCCAATACACGCCCCTAAAAACCTTAACGACACACGACTTTCGACACACTCAGAATCACCGTGCGCAGAGCACCAACGACTTTAACATCAAAACAAAAAGCCGAGCTTTCATTTTAAGCATGGGATACGACAGCTTCCCATCACCTTCAATCCCAGAAGAACCACCCCCGCCGGACCGGATCCCCAGAATTGCATTTAAACCCATTCCGGAAAACATGAACCCGGAAAGCAATCAAGGCAGAAGAGACAAACAAAAGAAACGCATTGAGCGGAACCGTGATTCGACGGACATTACCTCGAAATATTATTACACGGATGCAAGCTACAAATGCAACACGTAAGCGGCAAACAGCTGTTGTAGGACTCCGAACCGAAAGCACACTGAACCACACCAACGCCCCTTCCCCAACCGCACTAAATAGCCGAAGCCATAGCCTCACACGCCGGGAAGAATGCCATCACTATCCAAACAGATACCCAAGGAGCCGTCAGAGACATCAGAAACAATATTCTACCCCCGAACATCATGACCGCATTATCGAAACCACGACAGAACGCCCCTCAGGGATGGTCGCTATCGAATGGGTCCCTGGGCACCCAGGATTTGAGGGGAACGTTAGAGCCGACGAGCTCGCCCGAGGAAGCGACCTACCGGGCCCTTAAACTCCCTTTCCTACAACCTACGACCCATACGACCACAGAAAGGCACTACACAAATTCAGAACACGCGTAGTAAAAGAACGTAGAGATAATGTCACACCCCTTAAAACCCGTCACGCGCATTTAGCAGAGAGGACGCTACAATTATCGAACGCGCACAAACCAACACACTATTCACAGAACACCACAAACACTATATTAGCGGCGCGCCACACGTAGCCACATGCACACACTGCGGCCTCCAACGTAATAAGAAACATCAACTGTGGAAATGCCGAAGAGTTGCTCCCATCACCAAAACTACACTCGACACCCTGGGTGACCCCACCTCCTGGCAACGAACCACATATTCGGCTGCTCCTAGTCCAGTGCATTAAAAACGTGCTGGGCGAGGAGTGGTAACCACGTGCACCGGACTTGGTGATTCCATAAAACGTTTACTCTCTTTCTCTCTTTCTTTCCATTACAGCGCACGTCACGATGGGGTACGTCACGAGAGGGTCGGTTGAGCGCGTCGCAACCTGTTTGGCAACCGATGGGAGACACTGCTGCCCTGGTTTCATTCCCGCTCTAAGATGATAATAACCAAACTTTTTAAACCATGGTTCCGAGACCTTTGTCGTTTCCACAGCGACGTATGCAAAATAATTAAAGGTATGGTGACTTTTCCACGTTTGTCTGAATTGTGGTGAGCTCTTGTATACTCCGGATCCGCTGAAAGGTATCCTCCTCAGACCCGACACTAATGCCGCAATAAACTAACTTTGATGAAGTCCCTATATTTACAGTTGTGTTTCCACGAAACCCCCCAAAATGTATTTCTAATGTGCGCAATGACTAACTACATTTAATTGCTTCTCCGTTTACAGGGACATTGGGTGCATCCTTAGGCATCCTTAGGCATGATTAGAAATGTTTTAAAATTTTTGTGTATTCGGAAAGAACCAGTAAATAACTGCTTCGAGGATGCGATTTTCAGAAAACGAGAATTGAAGAATTTATTAGTTTTCTTTTTTGAAGCACTTAAAACACAACATAAGCAAGTTTGGTAAGTTCTCCACACCTCACACTAGTAAATTAACTCGCAAAATTAATTGCTTTGCGACTCTACTCACGCAGAAAATTCATAGAAGCAGTTTCTGCCAACTTGTATGCAAAGGTACACGTCGCACTAAGCATAGCGGCGGCGTGTCTTCATGCTGAAACCAGCGTTTTGGCACCTTACTCAACTTTGAAGTCGTCCTTTACTTGCAAATGAAGTACGTCTTGTTTGCGAAAATATTCCGATGGTAGAGCTTTTCGCCTTTTTATTGGCGCGTTGTTTATGTCGTCTTCGTCGCCTTGAAGAGGCCTCCTCCTTGCCGCGATATTCGTGCGTCTTCATCGCCTCGAGGAGGTGGGCTCATCGTCTGCAATAGCAATGCCTCAGCCACAGAAATCTTGAAATCAAAGCAGTCAAGAAGTTTTTTTTTTTTTTTTTTTTAATTCTTTGCCTTTTTGTCTGCTCTGTTTTGAAGCCAGCTGTGGACGCAAGAAATATCAGATATGTTAAGCATTGTGTGCAATGTTCACCTGTTTGTGCGGCTCCTCTGAGCATAAAGGGTGAACATTCAGTCACCTAAGCCCACACCACCCTTATTTTCATTGTGTTTCTTGATGACGGATGGGCGCGGGACATCCAGAAATTTTTTCTCCTTTTGCACCATCTTTTCCACTCATCTTTAGGTTCCACCCCAAAGGCAGCCGATAGCATCACAATTGGCATTTTGTCGACCCATTTTGTACACGCAAGCGTGCGGTTTTGTCCCAGCAGCTCTTCCGAAGTGCCCAAGGATTTCTTCAACAGATCCTTGGCATTCGTGAAATGGGCCTCCTTTGGCATTCTGTTCTTCATCAGAGTGCAGGTGTCAACAATATTCTTCGTCGTGACATCATCCATCAAACGGACAGAAGAAAACCAACGGTCAATGTAAAGTGTTGAACACGTAGGCACTGTCTCAACAAGCTTCACGGCTGAGTTGCCTGATGCGCCAAGGCCAACGTCTGGAAACGTCTCCTTGCCTTTAATGCTAATAAATCAACCCGTCCTTTCCTGCGAGAGCGAAGATTTTTAGTCCCACAGGGTTCGGTTTGTTAGGAATGTAGTTCTTCATGGGGCAGCGCCCTGAAAAGGAAATAATTTGCTCATGCACACAAAATCAGTTGGGCATTTTCAAACCCAAGCAGCTCTTTCGCATCATCTCTACGAAAGGCACAACCTTCCAAAGCCTCTCCCTTTTCTTATCGTCGTCACTGAAGTCATCGTCAAGTTGGCAGCACAAGTTACTTTGCAGTAATAAAAAACGATATCGTGGCATGGTGTTAGCTACTGAACTAACAGCCAAGCTCGTCTTCAAAAAAAAAAAAAAAAAAAGATCGTAATCTGGGATAGCCAATCATACCCGTAACGTTGAACAACCCAGAAACTGTTTCACTTCCTGGCCAGTGACTTTAGCTATGGTTCCACGCTCCATCAAAATTCTTTAACTTGTTTTCTCAGCCATTTTGTCAAGCATGTTTTCATCTACATACTGCTTGTAGTAGCAACAGCCGAGAATTCCGATAAATTTTCCGAAAATACACACCCAGTTTCGAGAACAGGCACATCGTTTGCTGGTGACGAATCTAACGCCTTCAATAAGACGCGCCTTTGCGAAATGCCTGCGCAGATGGAGTCGTTGTCGTCACTGTCAGTAAATGAACCAGCATACACCTCGGTGTCGGAATCGTACACATCATTCACGTTTTTCACGTCGTCTTCGTTCCCTGAGTCCGAAATATCGGAGGTTTCCCGTGCGCAAATTGATTGCAAAACTTCATCGGCCCTCTTGGTGGATAAACCTGAAGTTACAAAGCAAAGTTTATTGTAGGCTTCGGTCCGCACCCGTTTAATTTCGAGAACCAAAATGCTCTACAGTGGACACCGACTTCAAAATATTCAAGCACATGAACCCGATCTCCCTGTGCTTGGACACCCCACTCAACATGCTTCAAACGTTTCTATGAAGACAACATTTTTCTAAAAATGGTGTCCACGTGTTCTCTAGGCATTAAACCTTTATGCCGCGCCGCAAGTGGTTTAAATAAAACCGTTATGAAAAAAAAAAAAAAAGAAAAAACGGCTTACCCCGCTGTCGAGCGTAAAAACGTGGACGTGGTGATTCCCGCCATGTTTTCTCAAGCACGCAACGAACAATTCTGCTGAGCACTTCATAGATGGCGCAACAAACATTGGCCTCCCAGAGGAACATTGGGTCTCTGCTCTGCAAGATGCGTGTTTTTTTCGCGTCCCGTGAGCTAACGTCCTTGTGGGAGAGAAAGGGTCAGAATAGGGTATATATAATGTTTTCCACGGAGCTAATCTCTGGTGAGCTTTTCTCCGGTATTAAAAAAGTAGCCTTAAAACACATATGCAAACTAAAAACAACATCATTTTAAACTGTCCGAGTTAAAACTGAATGTAATAAAATTAACAAAAAAATTTGAGTTATATTTACGGCGCGAAAACGATTTTGTAGTGGGCGCCCGCGATAGCCCGCGGAAAAGTGGCAATTAGCAGTCACGTGGTTTGCTGTCGCAGGTTCGGTGAAAAAAAAATAAACGATCCAAATGTTTCCCATGCAAACAAAATGTATAATTTTGTAGAAACGCTGACCGGACGATAGGTCCACTCCCTGGTGGACGGACTCACTCTGAGGGGCGAGGAACAAGACGGAAACGTTGCGTTAAAATAACGAAAGGTTTACTTGAATCACGTTCAAGACTCAACGCATGCACCAAACGCAAACAAAATAATAATCATACGCCAACTCTGCCCTTCACGCGCGCGACACTCCTACATATATTGAAATTCAAGTAAAAAAAACTCACACAGCTTTCCCTAGCGCGCAGGCGCTACTCACACATAAAAAAAAAATAACGGGCACAGCAGCGGTTTAAAGGCGTTGTCCACATTGGACAGTACACAAAAATCAAACAAACAAACAAAAGTATAACACAATAATAACTCTAAATGTTCTACGGAAGTGAGTGAAGCGAACCTGGGTCCGGAGAGTGGTTTGGGTGACGCGGGCCCGTTGCGGCGCCGGTCGAAACCGGGAAGTCTGCGCGTGCTTGGATGCTCCGTGCGATGCTCCTCGGCACCACACTCATCCACGAGCATGCACACTTGGGGGCCCGCAGAGCCGCGCCGAGGTCTTCCCGCGTTCCGCCTTCTGCCGCACCCGCTGTCGCTCCCAACTTTCGCGTCGCGTCCACCCACTGGTCCAGTCCCTACATACGCTGTCTTGACTCGGCTCGGAATCAAGCCGAGGTCCTCATTTTCCCCTCTCTTTCCTCGATAAGACAACAACAACAAAAACAAGAAACCTCCCGAGTCGGGGACAAAAAAATACCGCCGCACCTCCTCGAGAGGGTACCTCTCCCTCGATTCCGAATTAACGGGGTCGGCGAAACAGCACAACCCGATGACCAGCTGTCCCGCTCAACCCGCGGGGCAAGGGGCGTCCAACGACCGGATGCGCTCACTCACGAAAACTCCAAAAAAATATAAAAGCAGTCGAATTCTGTGACACCACCCCCAATTCCAAAATATTCACCAGTGAATATTTAGACAATCACAAAATTTGACACGAAACTGGGCGGCAGCCATGACATATGCATGCAGCTGAACAGATATTTGTCGGGAACAAACATTAACTTGAAGCATGTTAAAATATAATCGTGCACACAGATCAAAAATAAAACATACAGACCCCCGGGGCTCCTCCGAGGCAATAAAGACGCTTCGTTCGAGAAAGCTAGGGTGCATGATCAAAGTTCAGTTTCTCACTTCTATTAAATTCAAGTCAAGATCATGAAAGTCACTAAACAACCAGTACGTAAGATAGGGCCCGCAATACGAAAGAGAAGTCTCTTCTCATTTCTCCCAACTTACCGCAAAAAAAAGGAAACATGAAAAATAACTTGAATACCTCCAATTTCACACAGGGTTGCGGAGCGCATGCTGACAAAATTAATTTATACATACACCTCTGCCCACACCCAGAAGGGAACCTTGCCCATTCTTTTCATGAGCTGGGTCTCCACATGCCAGGTATCAACGCTATCTAACAATTACCTAACAGTTACAAAACGAAACATGTTAGGAACGACTGAGCTACATGTTAAGCCGCTTTACATCTATTCAATTAGGACCTTTTTCTACCTGCTCAGTAAAGGGTCCCTACCTGACCTCCCAGCCTGGCTCCCGCAACGCTCTGCATAGTTTGGAATGCCCTGTCGTCCTTGCGCCTCTATGAAACGCCTCGTAGTCTGCTGCTTCCGGAGCAGCTTTTTTTCCGGGCTCCCGCTCGCAAGCACTCCGGTCTTGAGTGGGGGTTGCACTTGGTGAGAGCGACCGGTTCCCATTGATTGCCGTCCCTCTTCGAAGCCTTTTCCGCAGACTCCCGCTCGACTTCATCACATTACTCCGCACCCTGGAGTCGTTCCTTGCTTTTTCTGTCTTCCTCCTGGATGCGTCTCTCGGTGTCCCGTCGGCTTCACACTCGGAGAAGACGCTTTCTCGGTCTGGAAGCTGTTGCTCTTTCGTAACGAGGACCCTTCCCTTGGTGTCTTGGCCCGCGCGTATGAATCGGCTCTCGCCGTCCTCTTCTTGAATCTCGCCCTCAGATGCCCGTGCGGCTGGAAGATCGGCGGACGTTTACAGGACTCCGGGTTTCTGTTGCCGTTCTCGTGCGTCGCCGGCTGGCTGGCGGGCGAATCTGCCATGTTGCCGCCAGCTCTGACCTTCGCCGGCTTTCCCTTGATGACGCTGTCTTTGTCGCCGCCCCCTTGCTCGCTGCAGGCTCCA